CCCCCCCCCCCCGTCCCGTACGCCTATGTTGATTTGCATGTTGTGATTTGATATAGGCGATGATTGATAATTAGTCAAACAGATTTCCAGAATTTAGGTTTGTATTGTCGACATTATATAGTTCCAGACTGTGGAGATTCATACTTCAGGTATCGTAAATTATTAATTCTTACTGTCAATTATGTGTGTTTTACTTTCCAATCAATTAGTAATCTAATCAAACCTAATCACTTTTGGAATGTATTTTTAAAATATGCTATACAAAACGTCTCTACGACATTGTACAATCACATTCAATGTTCTGATGTCTGAAGCCTGTTTCAAACGTCGCATTTTGCATGTATCGAATTCAATAGCTTGAACTATGTACAGTACGTGCAAAATCCAAATGTGAAACAATTCAATTCGACGTTTCTAATTACGGTGGACCGTAACTTTAAATTCTACCGGTGCGCTTACAATCCGAGCGAAGTGTGACCTGGTTTCAGAACCAAAATTTTTTATCCCCCCCCCCCCCTTTCTCGCCAACAATTTTGGGAAAAGAAATATTAATTAGGCAGTGATACCTTCATATTCCCTGTGAGAGTTGCTTTGTTGTTTTAAGGGGAATACTCGTTGAAATATTTACATTAGTAAACAATTGATTGATTTGAATGTCAAATTGTCGCTTGACGAGCGGCTGCTGCTTCCAAGTACTCGGAAGTTAGTAACTAAACTTTAGCAATTTTTCAATAAAAGTACTGTATACGTACTTATAAACTTTTATTTAACTTTAACAATATACTAACCGAAAAGTTAAATACACTACTTTAACCGGAAAATTATTAACATTTCGAGATTGAACTTTTGAGGGCGGCCTTATAGTGTTTGTATGCACCTGTCCAGCAAGCATTGGACTTTAAACAGCGGAATCATTTCTAAGCCTTTCGACGTGTGCAGCATGCATTATTAGAGAGTTTAAGCCTCGCGTTATACGTCAAACGGCGAACGCCAGGCAATTAAGAAAAAATTTACAATACCAGGCAATAAAGAGTAAATGAATTTGCTGTTTTAAAACTGAAATACATGATTATTCTTTCGACGCAAGCAAGAAAATATGAAACGAAAACGTTCAACGAAGATTTTGCCAAGAAATTTCGAACCTGCCGTTTGCCGTTCCCGGAAACTTAAATTCCCTAATTTGCAGAAGCGACGCAAGTTAATTGTCCTATTGGATCTATATCTAGCTGTTTTTCGTTGTTTTTCACGGTATAAATATGGGGAGTTTGTTTAAGTCCAGAGTCCGGTCCAAAATCCAGTCCAAACCCATAGTCCAGTCCAGTGCTTGCAATATCCCGAATTTGGAAAAGCAAAGCCTGTGAATACAGACCCGTTGTTGTATAATAAAACAGTTATTCCACTCCGACTCTAGCCTATCAGCTCATATTCGACTCGAGTTCGTATAGAATAACTGTTTAAATATTCAGTAATATGGGCAGTATTCTCAATTCCCTTACTTGAAACGCGCTCAAACAAATTTCATGG